TGTTGTTGTCACAATGAACTGAGATTTCCTTAATCTGTGTAGAATTCTATTTATTGATAATGTACTTACTGGATGCAATACTGTAGTAAAAATGCTGAGAATTCCATTCTGTATCACATGTACTGTTTTGGAATAAAGAAAATTATTATTGTTATTGGCTTTATCGATTCTGATTGCACAACCTTATGCGATCGCAAGTGTCGGTGTGTTTGATTGTCTGCTGAAAGAGGTTAATGATTTGGCAGTGTGATTATCATGTCTGTATTCAATAAGATGCTTCCGTGTACGTCCTATTTATTTCACTCCATTATGAATAAGATTTTATTTTGATAAACTGTCACTCACAGTGTGTGTAGTGTTGTTATACAGTAAGTAATATTAACTGATGCGACCACGTTTCGAGCACAAACTATTGCGACTCATAATCGTATCAAGTCACTCACTCACACAACCCTTTTCCTTCATTTATATACATCAGCGGAATTCATGATTAGACATTGGAATAAAAATCAGTAATATGGCTAATGTGCATTCAGAAATAATAATAATAATATGAGTGTTATTGATCAATTACAATAATCAAATGGGAAATAAGACGAGTGTTTCTGTTATAGTGATAATAAGTAAGTAACTTGTTAGAATGTTGTGATGATGTACGTGAATTGAATTGAAATAGGATACAATTCAAGATTATTTATTATCCTCCTCTGATTTCACTGACTGACTGACTGACTGACTGGTGGTAATAATATCTTCCACACATATCTCTGGTATTTGCATTGAGTCATTTCTGTTGCATGTGTTGTGTTGGGTGTAGACTCGATGAACCAGTCAGGATTCAGTAATCAACTCTCTCTCTCTCTCCACCTACATAGATTACTTCTTAGAATTTTAACCCTCTCCCACCATGTTATTGTGTGGTTGTGTTAATGCGTGAAGTGCAATGTACTGGTGAGTGCTTTTTTCTAAATGACTTATCTTCTCGGGTGGGGTCAACCATTCTTTTTTTTAAGCTAAATTCTTATGTTCCGACAATCTGACAACCCGCACCTACTAGTTTGACCTATGTAGTTGACCTAACTCACAGTCATTGCAGGGTGTTTTGTAAATGATATTATTTTGTCTTTAATGAGTCAACAGGGTCCTTTAACCTACAGAGCTTGTCCTACCTGAGTGAGTTTGTAGGTTTGAATGCCACCACCAGCCTAATTCCTGCTTTGTTATTGAGAATCCTACGTAGGCAGTGAGTGTCTCAGATATCCCCTCTCTCCTTATATGGTATAACTGCTGTAGACGCCTTATATTCTCTCTTACTTATGTTATCATTACTAGTTTCACAATTATTTTTTAAAAATTTGCTTTTCACCTTTTTCGATTTTCCTAATGAATTTAATAGGATAGTTACTTAGTTATTTAACACCATTTTTTTACTGTTCTAATTTTTTTGTCTCCTTTTTTATTTTCTTATTTACAGTTTGGATTCATATGATGACCGACTGGTTAGCAGCCATTCTCATCGATCAGGATTCCTGGAGTCCCACAATAATAATAAACTCAATCCGTCAGATATTGAACATGATCCATCAGAAAATTTTGTTGAAGAAGATTATATCACTGAATCACCTATTCAGAGCCCAGCTATTCGTCGACGTCTAGATGACAGTTTCTTTCTTCAGCATGGATCACCATCGTCAAATGAATATGACATTGTGAAACACCGTGAACGTCGTCGAAAGCATCTTGGTCTGCCTCTACTGAAACCAAATCATGTCGGAATCTTATCGCATACCGTGTTCATAGGCCATTTACATAAACAAATTGCAGAGAGTCTACTTCGAACACTTTGTTCCGAAATAACTGAAGGTCAGGTAGTTGAATGTAATTTCATTCCCCCGCGAGGTTGTGCATTTGTCACTTTTGCCACTCGACGGGTAGCACATCGTGCAGTTTGTCAAATGGATCGATCAACTATGAATGGTCGACAGGTGAAGGTTGCTTGGGCTCCAAATCTTGGCGTGAAGTCGAACGAAGTATATCTGGCGAATTATTGGGATACAGAGCAAGGCTGTACATATTTACCTGTGGAGGAGGTTCTCAAACTTACATATTCTCAGTTTGTCGATCTTTTAGATGGTTGTGCAGAGGTGGATGAAGAATCATTGGTTGATGCAAGAGTTAGAAGTTTTATCAGGAATGCCAATCGGAGTAGTGATAATAATAAAACTGAAAAAATATCCTTGAGTAGTTCTCCTGATGGAAAGTTGGCTAAGAAATCACAAACTGCAACTGCCCAGAATACATCATCACGATCAACGTTTCCACCTGTCGTGTCTCCCGTGGCAGTTGTTGTCAGTTCAAATGCTGCTTCAATTTCTTCAATGTCACCTGTTGTTGTTACTCAAACTGTACCGATGATGTTATTGCCGCTTCCCTTTCGGGTTTCACTCGAGCGATGGCCTGATACGCGATGTCACTCAACGGCCTCCTCAGTGAGTGTCCAATCCATGTCCACTTTCTCCTGCATATATGTTGGCCGATTGGTTCTTGTTTCGTTTGTTAGTTCTCATTGTTTCTTGTTGCTTCTTGTTCTTTCTGGCCATCTGATCTTGAGTATAGAACGAAGACAGCTGTTGTTGATAAAGGTCTGCAACAGGCTGTTGGAAATATTCTTTGTGACCCGCCAAGTTTCTCATCTGTACGTATAGAAGAACTGACTGACTTGATGTTTGTATTGCAAATCCGAATCATTTTGTTGTTGAGTGTTGCTGAGTGACGAAGATTTCCAGATTGGTTTCCAGTTGTGAAGGATACACTATATTCTAGACTCACCTCGTACTAAGGATAACATCATCGGTACAGTTTGAGTAACAACAACAGGTGACATTGAAGAAATTGAAGCAGCATTTGAACTGACAACAACTGCCACGGGAGACACGACAGGTGGAAACGTTGATCGTGATGATGTATTCTGGGCAGTTGCAGTTTGTGATTTCTTAGCCAACTTTCCATCAGGAGAACTACTCAAGGATATTTTTTCAGTTTTATTATTATCACTACTCCGATTGGCATTCCTGATAAAACTTCTAACTCTTGCATCAACCAATGATTCTTCATCCACCTCTGCACAACCATCTAAAAGATCGACAAACTGAGAATATGTAAGTTTGAGAACCTCCTCCACAGGTAAATATGTACAGCCTTGCTCTGTATCCCAATAATTCGCCAGATATACTTCGTTCGACTTCACGCCAAGATTTGGAGCCCAAGCAACCTTCACCTGTCGACCATTCATAGTTGATCGATCCATTTGACAAACTGCACGATGTGCTACCCGTCGAGTGGCAAAAGTGACAAATGCACAACCTCGCGGGGGAATGAAATTACATTCAACTACCTGACCTTCAGTTATTTCGGAACAAAGTGTTCGAAGTAGACTCTCTGCAATTTGTTTATGTAAATGGCCTATGAACACGGTATGCGATAAGATTCCGACATGATTTGGTTTCAGTAGAGGCAGACCAAGATGCTTTCGACGACGTTCACGGTGTTTCACAATGTCATATTCATTTGACGATGGTGATCCATGCTGAAGAAAGAAACTGTCATCTAGACGTCGACGAATAGCTGGGCTCTGAATAGGTGATTCAGTGATATAATCTTCTTCAACAAAATTTTCTGATGGATCATGTTCAATATCTGACGGATTGAGTTTATTATTATTGTGGGACTCCAGGAATCCTGATCGATGAGAATGGCTGCTAACCAGTCGGTCATCATATGAATCCAAACTGTAAATAAGAAAATAAAAAAGGAGACAAAAAAATTAGAACAGTAAAAAAATGGTGTTAAATAACTAAGTAACTATCCTATTAAATTCATTAGGAAAATCGAAAAAGGTGAAAAGCAAATTTTTAAAAAATAATTGTGAAACTAGTAATGATAACATAAGTAAGAGAGAATATAAGGCGTCTACAGCAGTTATACCATATAAGGAGAGAGGGGATATCTGAGACACTCACTGCCTACGTAGGATTCTCAATAACAAAGCAGGAATTAGGCTGGTGGTGGCATTCAAACCTACAAACTCACTCAGGTAGGACAAGCTCTGTAGGTTAAAGGACCCTGTTGACTCATTAAAGACAAAATAATATCATTTACAAAACACCCTGCAATGACTGTGAGTTAGGTCAACTACATAGGTCAAACTAGTAGGTGCGGGTTGTCAGATTGTCGGAACATAAGAATTTAGCTTAAAAAAAAGAATGGTTGACCCCACCCGAGAAGATAAGTCATTTAGAAAAAAGCACTCACCAGTACATTGCACTTCACGCATTAACACAACCACACAATAACATGGTGGGAGAGGGTTAAAATTCTAAGAAGTAATCTATGTAGGTGGAGAGAGAGAGAGAAGTTGATTACTGAATCCTGACTGGTTCATCGAGTCTACACCCAACACAACACATGCAACAGAAATGACTCAATGCAAATACCAGAGATATGTGTGGAAGATATTATTACCACCAGTCAGTCAGTCAGTCAGTCAGTGAAATCAGAGGAGGATAATAAATAATCTTGAATTGTATCCTATTTCAATTCAATTCACGTACATCATCACAACATTCTAACAAGTTACTTACTTATTATCACTATAACAGAAACACTCGTCTTATTTCCCATTTGATTATTGTAATTGATCAATAACACTCATATTATTATTATTATTTCTGAATGCACATTAGCCATATTACTGATTTTTATTCCAATGTCTAATCATGAATTCCGCTGATGTATATAAATGAAGGAAAAGGGTTGTGTGAGTGAGTGACTTGATACGATTATGAGTCGCAATAGTTTGTGCTCGAAACGTGGTCGCATCAGTTAATATTACTTACTGTATAACAACACTACACACACTGTGAGTGACAGTTTATCAAAATAAAATCTTATCCATAATGAATTTGTCGACTCTAATTGCGCAAGCCTATGCGATTGCAAGTATCTTTCTGTTTTATTGTCTGTTGATAGATTTTCCAATGGTTTCACGGTGTGATTATCATGTCTGTATTCTGTAAGATGCTTTGTTTTTTCAAAGTTCTTTGTACTTTTACTTAACATTTTTTCAACCATTTTGGGAAAATGCTGCATTATGCGAGTAGGAGATCGTCTTTCTGTGTACGTCTTATTTATTTGCTTCACCAAACACACTCAAACTGATATAGGCAATTAAAAGTATTGAAAGTTGACGATACATCACCTTTCCCATGTTGTTGAACTCCTCGGATGGTATTTGGTTAAAGAATACAGTCTTTGCAGCGTAATAAGTTCCTCTCCCGACCGATAGCTACTACCTTGACGTGGTGTTGTGGTCGGGCTTGCACATGGCGATCACCCAACAAGCTGCACTGGCTGGAACGAATGTTCCTGCAGGTCCTACCATGCCAGGAAGTTTGTTAGGATAGCGATTAGACTAAAAGCAGTTACCGGCATAGTGTAAGAATCTTTCTTACACTCTGGTATGCTGGGGGTCTGTGGGCGAAGTCGTACTGATGGGGAACACGGGTGTGTAACAGCAACGAGGTGTTTCCCTCAGATGACCAGCATGCCAGCCAGCCAGCTATGCTCTTTCTCCACTCTGGAGACGAGGGGGGGGGGGTTACGAAAGGTCCCCAACTAGTTTATCCCCGACGAAATCTCAGCTGGGCACGAATACAGAGGGCTAGTTTCGTATATGCCAGTTTACGCCGTCTCTGGCGTAGACGTAATATCCGACTATCGACCAAAGGGCGTGTGTACTGCTCAACAGTCCACTCCGCCCTCCTTTATGGCTAGCTGTGAGACCTGGCCATTGAGAGTAGAAGACATGAAAAGGCTAGACAGCTGTCTTTGATCATAGGTGTCTGCGTTCTATCTCCCGTGTGAAGTGGTATGATAAGGTGAGCAATATTGAGGTTAGGCATCGGTCGAGTGCTAGGTAGGTGAGAGGGGAAATCAATCGACGAGACTGTGAAATTACATCGACTGAGATGGTTAGGACATGTGTTACGCATGCATGCCTAGTCATCGCCTTCCTCGACAATGGGCAATGTTAGCTGATATAGGGTCAGGTTGGAAAAGAGCTAGCGGCGGTCAAACCAAAACATGGCACCAGTCAATGAAATCCACAGCAGTTAGTCTAAGCCACGTAGGAAGGTGTAGACTGCCTTCCTGACTGGTTGGGGTCCTCGGGACGGTAAAAACTAATGAAGGCTGGAAACAATTGGTGATGCTATGGCTCAAAATCGTTCTCAGTGGCGCAGATGCATCCACTCCTTGTGACTCATGATTTCCAATGAAACTGTTTTGTTCTTCGTTATTACTATTCCTTTGTCTCAAACCTCTGTTTACTGTCTATACTATGCATTTCTCCTATTTTCTTCTCATGGTTTGTGTGCTACATGGAGGGAGTGTGGCGACTTGAACTGGTGCACATATGTGCAAAGTTCTATGTCGAAAACCGACCGACCGACTGTTACAAAAGGTCGACCCCAAAAATTGTACATCCCGACTTACCCTACCTACGGTGTTCCGTAACCGGCGGTAAGTTTACTAATACGGAACCAAACTAAGAGACCAGATCATACAGGCCGTGTGTGTGTGTGACCACTGGCCTGTCTCAAGCAGTTGTGTCCCCTACTGGGCTCTGCGGTCCCGCGAAGCACTAACCTTCTCTGTCTGGGATTCAGGTAACCGAAGACAATAAGTTCTTTTGATAGTTTTATCAGGCCTTCGGTCAACCAGTTTGGACAGTTTCATTAACTTGTATTTTTTTAAAGAATACTTTGTCACTGCCCATCAACTTGCCTTTTCACCATTATTATTATTTTTATTATTATTATTTAGTGATATTACACGTGAACTTTTATCGAAATGTCTGTACACACGTCTGTCAAAACCATTGGATTTAATTATACGTACCTCGGGTGAAATTCGATTGAGTGATTTTTTAACATGGCAAGCATCAGAAAACGGTGCAGTGTACAAATTCATTCAGAGTTATTGGCCTGAATTTTCATTGTGGGATTTCTTACAGGCGATATTGCATTACCAGTTAACGTGCTTACAATTGACGGTAAGTGGGTGGGTGAGGTGATGTGTTGTAGAACATTATATGCATATATATATATATATATTTCAATCTGTTTTAATTTGTTCTCTTAGAAGTTGTCATAATTTTAATATAATTTAATAATTCCCATTGTAGAATTAATAAGAACATAATATTCAGCGAAGAGACTCTCTCCAGCAACGAATTTATTATCAAGCTGTACAATCGTATATATATGGTTTTATTATAAAAATTATATCCGGTGAGGGAATTAGGTCAAAGGTGTGAATACATGAAATAATAATAGTATGAAATGCAATTAAAATATTTGTGATTATTATCATAGTTTAATGTCAAGTGGCACAATAATTAATGTCGTATATAGAATAATACATAAGAAGGATGTATAGATTTTGGAAAAGGCTACATAATTATAAGATTAGTAGACGAATATAAAATGTTACATAACATGGTATGAAATTTGATAAAACAGAATTCAATATTGTAAAAAATATAAAAATTAATAATTTTAGGTTTAAAATGTCAAGTGGGTCAAGTGAAAAACATTCAGAGTGAGAATAGTAATAATAATAATCATAATAATATTAATAATAATAGTAATAAGGGAAGAGTACATAGAATAACTAAATAAACAAAAAATAAATAAATGTCTATCCCTTTGCGGCCAAGGCAGAAGTAAGGTTTGTACATACTTCTTTTGTACACAAAGTTCTGGCTGGCTTAAAGTCATGAATTGCCAAGGCCTCAACTGTCTTTAGAAGTCTGTAACGAAGAAAACGCGGACGGTAAGTTAGCATGGATTCTATATATGATCTTAAAATCATGGTCAGAGTTGACAGAGTGATAGAAGTCGATCAGGTGTTCCATGATTATAATCACAAATATTTTAATTGCATTTCATACTATTATTATTTCATGTATTCACACCTTTGACCTAATTCCCTCACCGGATATAATTTTTATAATAAAACCATATATATACGATTGTGCAGCTTGATAATAAATTCGTTGTTGGAGAGAGTCTCTTCGCTGAATATTGTGTTCTTAATAATTTTGATACTCTACTTTGTTGTTGTCGTGGCTGAACGTCAACGAACTGTTAATGACCGACCGACCGACCGACTGTTGAACTGAATTGTTGATCTTGAATTGTCTTAATCAACTCAGTGCCTGTATTTCATTCAATTGACCATCAGGAATTCAACGACAATATCAGTGTGATATGGATGTGATATTGTAACAGCAAACAAGACAAGGCCAGTCAGGCAAACAGATCGTTTATTTAGGAAATCAACACATATTTTATCGATTTTTTTTAGTGGAAATTATTATATATTATTGTTAGCAGATAAACACAGTCTTCTGATTGGTTGTTTCTCTTTGTGACTGTTTCTTGAAGGTCAGATCATCTATCTATCTGCTAATTGTATCCGCCTACGCAAAGAAAGTGTGCTGTGATTGGTTGTTGGTTGAGTCAGTCTTTGTTTTTGTTTTCTCATGACCAATAATATTTGAGACTGTAAACATTAACGTAAATTACTGTCTATCAATTTACGGCTAGCGCAGACAACTCTCACCACAATATCACTATACACCTCTCAGTTGAGTGTTATATGCTTCCGGTTAAATCACACACACAGGTCGACTTGTGCCTTCCTAATCCTCTCGAATTTTGTTGACATTTTCTAGCGTATATGTATATATATATATATATTTTCAATATTTATTTATCCTGATCGATGTACCGAAAATAGATTTGTGAACAAATATAGGTTAAAAAAAGATTGAGTGAGCCTTCAGCATAAAACGTGTGTGTGGCACAGAGATGCAGCAGCAGTTCAAGTTGTGTTACACTCCATGTAGCACATAAAGATAGAACGAACCTTCGAACCAAAGTATCACCAACAGTCTCAAAGCTTTGGTTCTTAGAATCCCCACTACCCCAACCAGGAAGTCAGCCGTAAACCTCCCTAAATGGCTCAAACCAAACTCTTTTTCATCAACCTGACTTCCCCTGTATCAGCTAACATTGTTCGTCGAAGAAGAAAAAGGCAATGGTTAGACAGGCAGGTATGCGTAACACTTGTCCTAGCCTATCTTAATCAATATAGCTTCACAACCTGTTCCATTAACTTTCCCTCCTTGTTTAACTAACACTCGATACCTAACCTAAATATTGCGCACCATATTATTCTTATTATTTTACTTATCGCGGGAAATGAAACGAACGCAGACATCTATGATCAATAACATGTGGTCTTTATAGGTTTTCTACTTCCTTCCAATGACCATGTCTCACAATCATAAAGGAGAGCAGAGTAAACTGCTGTGCATTACACAAACACACACATTCTTTGATGAATAGGCGGATATCTTGTGGATGACAGAGAAATGACGTAAATTGGCGAATGTCACATGATATTTACTAGTTCATCGCGGATTCATATCAGTGAGTTAGAGAACCATTGAAAACCAGTCACAGCGAGTGCTGGACAGCTGTTTCATCAACCTAGTTTGCGAATCAGCGACAGTACGCACCCACCCTGCAGGGGTGTTCAAACCCAGGACCTTCCGGTCGCAACGCCAGCAAACCAGCTGTCTCGTATACCATTCAGCCACCACTCACTCGGACCTGACCCTATTCAATGGCCAGCCAGTGCATGAATTCCAACTTCTACCAATTCGTGATTTAGCGCGACCCCAACCATTGTCGTTAGTGTGACACATCCATCTTCACACTTGACATCTGGATGGACCTCACTGGTCACGACTTCTCACCAGAACTGAGTCCAGGAAACTCCATCCTGTAGCAAGTCACTAGTGAGCATCAGATTAATTTTCTTTAGTTTGGTTTGTAAGGGTTAGTTATGTTTTGTTTTTACGAGTTAATCACGGACTGATATCAGTTAGAGAACCATTGAAAACCAGTCTCAGGGAGTGCTGGACAGCTGTTTCACCAACCTAGTTTGGGAATCATCAGCAATACGCACTCACTGGGATTCGAACCCAGGACCATCCGGTTACAGGGTCACAAGGACAATGTATTATGAATACGCCCGAATCCGACCTATGAGGCCATTGTGATCTATGATCTGAGCCATTAGTATAAGTATCTTTTATCTGCTTGGTGTTCAAAAGAACTAATATTTGGAGACACCTCATAACCGATCAGAGTGGTTCGCAGTGTCATTATTATTTTTCTTCGTGATATGAGCCTCTTTGTTATCCGCCTTGAGATTTCGTTAGCAACTGGCCCATTTTAGCTGATGGAACTTTCCAAATTAGTGAAGTGGTCAGCAGGTTCTACTAACCACACTTCACTCCCTAAATTGAAGCCAAGAGTG